AAAAAAAAATCATTAAATCAACTTACATTCAAAGTTTAGACTTACTATAAGCAATTGATATCTGTGAAATTAAATTATGGGCTTATGGTACTTACAGTTCCTCTAATGCAATTATAACAAATGCTTCCTGTAATTGAAATTGAAGAGTACACTTGACATGGCCTCATGTGCAAAGACCTACATGGAAAACATTCCCTAGGGTGGTGTGCAGCCCATTTCATGCTGCAATCCTGTGAAGCTGGTCTCATTTCTGTCCTCGTATCATAGAGTCAAAAACCCAGGCCCAGGAAGATGAGACACTTTGTCCAAGGTCACAGAGCTAATGGCAGACACAACCAGCATTCCAACCCAATCACCCCTAAGAATTTCTCTATGGTCTCCTAATTACTTCTTTCAATATTTAAAGCTTAGCTCAGGGCTCCAGGCTCCCTGCTCCTGCCCCTGGGGGTTGTCACCATGCCCGCCCTGTGCCCGTGCCTTTGTTTGTCATGGGAAAGCTCAGAGCATCCAGGCGGGAACACGGGTGAGCCTTCCAAGTTTCCATGAGACAACAGGCTCCTCACGACGACACCCAGGGGTCTCCCAGCTGAGCTTCCCGGGGGGGCTTGTGCCATCACAGACCCAAAGTTGGAGCCATCCTGAGCGGCCACTCATCAGAATCCAGCCAGGGGGGCCAAGAGGCTAAAAGGAATGAAATTAGCTTTCTAGCCCTGGCTTTGTGGTTTCAGTTACGTAATGGAAAAAGAAGAAGAAGAAGAAGAAAAATTACCCTCATAATAAAACACTACAAAAGTTGTCAAATCTCGCGGGCAATTCTATTTGGGTGAGCTGAGGTCAAGCGCTGGGCTGTCAGGGCTCCAGGAGGAAGGAGGGAAATCTCTTTGGGTTTTTTATTTTTAATGAGGATGGTTATTTTTTTTAATTAAAGAAAATAACCCCAGGGTTTGGCGGGGAGGGGGGAACTATGTTGGCTGAGGGAATTTACAAGAGAATGTATCAATGGATTCCGTGGAATTCTCCAGTCCAATGCTGCCAAATGGCAAATCCCCTCGCTGAACGGCCAAACCCTGCTTTTGATTACGAACACTCCCAGAAGTGAGAGAGGAGGTCGCACAGCAACCACTTGCCCCTAGCAGCTTGCTCCCCTCTAAGGAGCTTGAAACATCATCCCGCTTGTCAATCAAGAGCATCTTTCTCAAATGCCTACAGTGCAGTTGTTCCAAGTTCACCTGGCAGATGTCAAAATGGCAGCCTGGAGTTGATGATAGAAGCAAAGGGAAGGAAATATCCCAAGGGACAGGAGTGAAGGGATTTTGGCCGGGTCCATCGATGGACAAGTCCAAGGGACCACATTAGTACCAGAACAGCGGAAACCTCTCAAGACCTTGGGATGCACCTCTACAGCTTCAGAGCATCGGCGCAGAAGCAAGCACACGGAGAATTAAATGGGGAGTCAAAAAGTCTTGGTGGGTCTGGGGACACAGGCAGCCCCAGGGACAGTTTCACGTCATTGTCACCACTGTCTCCTTCCTCCTCCTTCAGAAGCTTCGACTGCTGGACTTAAGTGCTTTCCCTCATCTGATCCTGGAAAGAACCTCATTCCATGCATATGGTTAAGCTTACTTGAGAGAGAAGGAAATGCAAGCTCAGAGAGGTTCAGCAATCACACAGCTGAGGCAAGGGAAAGCAGAACGTCACCCAGATCAGTCTTGTTCCAAAGCTCCTGCCAACTCACTTACACTTGATAATAAAGTAATCCTGCTTGCACACACCAATTGTGTGCCAAACACAACCACCCTGCTGCACGAAGCCCTCCGTGATAAGGGAGCTGGAGACGGGCTACACCCGCTGGTTCCTTCTATGTGAATGGAAACTTGGGTTCACCCGTGTCAAATCTCAGGCCCTCTGTGTGTCAACCAGCTGCACCCACATCCCACGGACCAGCGCTGATCCGGGTCCCCAGTCCCCTCCCTGGATTCTCCCTGGGTATCGACACTGCAGACCAGCCTCTCGCCCCCGCCCCTTCACATTCTGCTCCACGTGAGCGGGTGCCCTGAATGACGCCATTGTCGCCGGGTCTGGGTTGTAAAACGTTACAAGGGAAGATTGAAATCTTGGGCCAGCAGGCTCCCTCGGCCTGCGCGCTAACGAACACCCCCACCACCACCACCACCCCCAGCGCGGTCCTGCCGCCGCCTGAATGGCCTTTTCACGGGAGCAGGTGGCGGGGTGCTAGTAAGTTGGGGGTTTCTGTTTTGTTTTGCTTTTCCCAAAACTGCTGGCAGCGCGAGCCCGAGGACTGTGCAAGCCCTGTTCTCTGGAGCCTCCTCCACCCTGCGCTCTCATGGGGGGGCTCCAATTAAAGGGGGCAAAGTTGGGGGTTTCTGTTTTGTTTTGCTTTTCCC